GGTGCCCACATCTTCCAGTAATGTTACTGGGAAACACACAGCATGGCCGTAACAGCATCCCAACGTCCATTTTACTGCTGGAATCATTCCTGCCTTTCCCTGCACGTCCATGGAACCTGCAGCATCACCACTCTTTCTGATAGGAAAGGCAGCCCTTCACTGAATGAGTTTGGGTGACCACGAGTGGAAAGTGTCACTGGTGGGAGATGAGGTACCCAGGCCCTGGACATGATGCCTGAGCACAGCAGGACTCAGCTGCCATGGAGGGACCACAGAACCCTGGGAGGCTGAGGGCTCCTGTGCCGCTGCTGCTATGTAGCTGGGTCAGGTTTTTTTTCCTGAAAAATGGAAATGATGAAGGAGGTTGAAACCCACAATTTCTCACTACCGTTTAAGATTATCCTTGAAGATTGGAGTTTTCCCTGCTGCATCTGTCTGAGACTGTAAGAGAAAGGGAAACCAAAGCATGGAGAATGGGGGAAAAAAGAAAACATGCTTCCCCTGTGATGTTAACCCATTGTATATGTAGTAGCTGTATGAGGGGTCAAAGTCAGTTTTAATCCATTGGGAGACACATCTGAAGATGAGACAACAGGGTAAAAACTTGCAGCCAAACACGAACTTAGGAAGACCAAAATGTAACTGCTACAAATCCAACAGAGGATACATGGGGAAGTCTCTCAATTCAGCAAAATTGTCACTGCAGTGAAAATAATAAGCAAGAGGTCATTGACTATGAATGGAGTCTGAGAAATATTTCCCCAACTGCTGTTCTGAACTGGCAAGAATTTGGCTGGAGACACTGATTAATGCTGTTGTGCACTGCTGTAGAGACCTTATAAGTTTTTAGCAGCAATGTGGTAGCAAAAAACAGAGGGTCAGAAGCAGACCTATTCTTTGAGGAAGACTTATAAAACTAAAGGTGGAACCACACCAAAAATCTCTCACAGATTTACAATGCTTTAGGAAAAGCTTGGGAGTCTTATGGTAATGTAGGATTATTTACAGCATGAAAGACATTGAAGGGCAACAACGTGCACAAACAGGACTCCATATTTTAGGATCACATGTTGGAAAACAATCTCACAAAATGCTGGCAAAGTCAAGTAATTTCATTTTCAAATTGCCTCCCATTTGTGATAGATGTGCTTAATTTTTTTTTCCTGGACAAATGACACATTTTCTTCAATTAAATATGAATTTTAGGACATGCATTTCAATGAGGAAAAAAAAAGACATTGAACTCATTATATCTGAGTTTGACCAAAAAACTGAAAACCAGGTTTTGCACAAATAGCAGGGCTGGAAAATGGAAATGAAAAGGCAGAGACCACTGGCATCAATGTTACCATCTACAGTGCAGTCAGTTAAGTCAGAAGAGAGAAGGAAAAAAAAATGAAAGGAAATCAGGTTAATTGTCAGTTGTCAAACCATCTTATAATTAAGTGTGAGGAGACCAAAAGATGTGCAGGTGTTTAAAGGCATTTCTAGTAATAAGATGGCATCAAAAGCTTGGGTTTGTTTTGATCAGAAAGCAAAGAGCTCAGAAAACTCCTTGATAGACTCTTTCATGAATTCAAGTGGTAAAGGAGCACAGGTATGTACATGGCTCTTTGCACAAAACCATCTTTGAGCATTTCACCTCTTTCTCTTTCAAAATGCTGTGCTGCTCAACCTTTCCACAGGCTAGAAGACCATCTCAGATCATCACAGGCGATGAAGACACGCAAGGATTGAGTATAGAAGTGCATCCCTTTGGTTGAAAAAACCCATCAGTGGTGGGGTGTCACATTCAAAGAAAACATGATCTTACTCCTCATAATCTTATTTCTTTTTAAATGTTAAATGGCTTCAGTCACTTTCTGCTATGGCTCTTTTATCTTGCAGAGGGTGCAAGGGCTGAAAAGGGTTTTAAGAATGAAGGAAAATGTTTCCTTTTTACAACCACTTCCTCACTTTTCTCCCACCATATCTCTATCCTGGTTGCATCATGAAGACTTGAGAATGATCATGCCTTTTTTTTTTCTTTTCTATTTCAACAGTAAATTGTACATAAAAGTGTTTGGCTCCAGTTCAAAGGGGATTGTCCACACTTTTGTGGTAAGGTTCAGAGTTCCCAGGACTTGAAATGAGGAGATGCAGCAGGGTGTCAGGATGCCACTTTTCTAATGCTGAGCTTCCCTCAGGGCCAGGGTTGAGGAGGAGATCCTAAGTTAGGAAAGCCTGCAGGGTTCCCTAGGGTGAGCTGCTGGCATTGAACCAGCTGGGGAGCATCCTGAGAACAGGGCACAGGTCCCGGCCCCTTCCCTGTGGCACAGACCCTTTACCGGCCATCCTCTAACATGTGCTCTCACCTGCCCCCTCACTGAGGGTGGCTGTGATAATTAATGACCTGCAGTTCCCAGATTGTTCAAGGACTTGGTTAAATACAGGCACAAAATTAGCAATGGCAGAACTGCCCTAGTAAGGTATACTGAAATATCTGAAATATTTGAGGGTCCTTTTGTACCATCTATGCTGCAAATTCAAAATTACACTAGTATGAAAATTTCCCTGCTGTTATGGGGTCTGATCTGAAAATTCTTTGCCAAAATGGGAAGATTTGCACTTTGTTTTGCTTTGGATGAGGACTGTCTTCTGCTGCCAGTCATTTTTCAGCTTCCAGTACTGAAAACCCTGGGTTGGGGAGATGCTGGGTCACTTTGAGGGATCTCCAAACTTCTCCATTCTGTTGGATTTTGTTTGTTTTAGACCTTGCTGGCTGTGCTTTCCTGAAATGAGAATAGGGAAATGTAGTGCCAGACATAACTATTTATGTGTCCGCAAAAGATGCAGTAATGAAAACAGCATGGAGTTTGCAGGAGGAGAAGCCCACATCATGTCAGGGGGCCTGTGTCTCTAAGACAATTACTGGAACAAGTGGCTGCTGCAGAGGCAAAATCACCATCAGGGCTGAAAGCTCTGTCAGCTGCCAATCTTCCAACATGGAAAGCAGACTTAGACAATGTGTTTTCATTGGCAACTTCAAGATGAAGGAGATGCACAAGAGATGGCAGAAGTCTGTGAGGACAGCTTGCTCTGGTGAAATAACGAAGGAAAGGAAAAAACGACAGAAGCTAAACCACAGCTAGTTCCAGCTAGAGGAGCTAATTAAACAGACCAGGAGGAAGTTCAGAGCAGCAGTATGTCTCAGGCACTGGCTGTTTGTTAACTAGCAACACCCAATTCTCACAGAAGCACCTGGAGAGGTGGTTTTCCAGAGCCATAGCTAATGTTCCAAAAGTGTTTCTTTAAAAGCCGACAGCTGGAGTTAGCAACAGATGGTGAAAGCATAGAGAAAGCAGAAATTAAAACCAGAGGGCAAAATGGGAATTGTAATGCTAGTACCAAACATTCCTGTCGGGTGAGATTCAGTCATCCGTGGATAATAAGCATGCTGTTGCAAGTCCCCGTTGCATCCCAGAACTAAAGTTTGAGTGAAACATAGTCCTTTGGAGGGCCATGTATGTGGGAACCATATGTCGCCCAAGGAGAACAGCTAGTCTTAAGAAATTGGCTCAAGGGATTTCTGAATTTCTAATAAGTGATCTGGAGCAAAGCAGAGAGAAAATGAAGCAAGATCCCAAGGAAAGTTCTTCCTCTGCATATGTGTGTGTGTGTTAGCCTGCAGCTTGTTTGTTTTGCCATAAGATTTGTAGTGATTCCCACATGCTGAAGCTCCAGGTGATTCAACGAGTAGACGAGGTTAAAAAGCAAGAAGGTCAAAGAATAAAAAATGAGCAGATGTAGTGTGATTAGGAAAGATGAGAACACCTTACGGAGCTCAAAGCAGGTAAAGAAAGTAAGGTATTCCTTAACATGCAACACAGCGTAGAGAGAATGGGATGGGAGAATGAGAAGAGTGAAGCTGCTGCTGTTAAGATAAGGGCTCAGAGTCCATAGGAGAATCTATGTCAGAAAGTCTTAGGTTCCTAAGTCTGAAACTATGATTCAGAAAATCCTGTCAACTCATTGCTTCCCTCCAGAAATGTCCCTCATGCAAACCAGAAAGCTCCCTTGGTAGCTAAAGGTCTCCATTGTGCCAAGGGCCTGACCTGAGCAGGACTTTTGCTTTGCGATGAGTGACAGGCCTTGGTCGTTCAGTGGCAGGGGTAGGTTCCTGCCAGCCTTATGCTTTACAGAACAGCTGGACAGCTCAAACAAATGAACCAGTAGTAGAATTTTGGTAAGTCCTGGAGGCACTGGGGCTCCCCAGTTTCCTTGCCTTGGCTGCCATTGCTGGTTCAAGGAAACTCTTTGCTTGCTGAGTCTCCATTATCCATAAGTCTCTGTGGGTCCTGGATTGGCAAGCCAAGGAGATCAGCTCCATGTTTCCATCATAAGGAGAAAGATTCCTGGGAAGCTGGCTTCTAAGCTAAACTAGAATTGTCATCAAAATTTGTGCTAGAGACAAGGATGACATGCTCTCCCAAAAGGCTTGCACAGCCTTCTAGGGCTTGGCAGAAGAGCGATTAGCTTCCCTAGACATCTATTGTCATCTTGAACAGTGGAGAAAAACCCACAAATGAGATGAGTAAGCTAATAAACTTGAAAAAAATAGCTTTGAGTGCAGGACATATTTATACTTAAAGGAAAAGAAAGGTAGCGCTCCCTTTGCTGAAGCAGGGCAGGTGATCCTCGAGACCTCATGCTCCAAATATATTTCCTGAGTTCCCATGTAAGCCCATTTTTCTCTGCAGCCAAGACCCACATTACAGGATCAGTCACACAGATTCACACAGAATTATTTATGTAGGAAAAGACCTCCAAAATCATTGAGTCCAACCTTTGACCAATCACCACCTCGTCAACTAGACCATAGCACTAAGTGCTATTCCAGTTGTTTCCTGAACATTTCCAGGGATTGTGACTCCACCACTTCCCCGGGCATTCCATTCCAATGCTCAACAATCCTTTCCATGAAGAAATTCTTCCTGATGTACAACCTGAACCTCCCCTGATGCAGCTTGAGGTGAGACCCTCTGAATTTTATCATGGCAGCCAGACAAAAATGATTAACACAAGACTTCTGCCTTGGGACTAGTGTCAGCTGGAAGAATATCAAATCTGGGGACAAAGGAGAAGGAGAAAAGAAATATTTTTTTTCCCCAGAATGATTTATCACCAGCTATTTGAGTCTGACCAGATGGCTGCAATGTTGGAAGCTGTCTTGAGGAAGGAGAATTTATTTACTTAAAGAGGTACAAAACCTTTCACAGTGGGCCATATTTGTTAAAGACAAGACTAACTCAGGAGCTGCCAGGCACAGCCTTTAGCTGCTTGGCTGAGTGTTCACCTACGGGTGTGTGCAGCCTGAGCAGACATCCTCTTCTTGCCTGTTACTCAAACAAGCAGTTGCCTTTGGTCTGGGACAAGTAGAGGATTTCAAGACCCAGAAGGATTAAAGAAAAAATAAAAAAAAGAGCAATCCCAACCCTGCAGTTTAGTATTTACTAGCAAATAGGAGAGCCCCTGAATTTGCTTAGCCCATATTGGCATTTTACATTTACATCACGGGATGAAAACAAGAGTTTTGGATGCTGGTGCCAGAGCCCATGGCATCCCTACGGAGAGCAAGTGGCTGCTGTGTGCTGTCTGTGGTACAGCAGCTTGTGTTTATCACTGCAGTGTGTGTCACACAGCCAGGGAGGGCTACAGGGTCACTCAACCCCAAACTCCTCTCCCTGGGGAGGGTCCCAGCCATAAGGTTGCTGCATTTGGAAAGGCAAAAAGGGGAATGCTGTGATTCACAGAGAGCTCTGTTCTGGTAGACTGTGAAAACGTGCTCTGAGAATGCATGTTGAATCGCATTCCCAAAATACTAAACCAGAGCAAACAGCTAGTACTTAGCCTGAAGTGAGGTGCTGAATTGTCTGAATGGAGTAAACTGAGCCCAGACAGAAGCTTTACTAAAAGTCCTCAAAGGATTATACAGTCAAGTGGAGATGCCTCGGGCTAACTCTGGTGTGGGATTTAAATGCCACCTAAGTTGGGTGTATGAATACCTAATTTTAGGAGCTAGGCTTTCCAAAAGATGTCAGAAGTGCCTGCCAGAACTTTATGAGAACAGAGGAAAAGTAAACCTAGATCTCAAAACAGGATTCAGAGTAGCTATCAGGTTAAGCATTAAGTCACAGCAGGTCAAACCATGCATGTGAGGCACCTGGAGGGGCTGAAGTCCTGCAGTACCCAGGGCACCAACACCAACATCTATATCTGAATTCCCCATTCTCTCCCTGCAACAGGGTCTGATGTCTGCTCCTGAAAAGGAGGGGCCTCTATTTATCTAGTGACTGGGAAATAACTAACTAATCCTGCAAGTGTTCATCTCAATTGCTGGATAACTCATTTCTGTATCTACACTATGGGTAGCCTGTGTCTTCCATGAACTCCTTGGATGGGCACTGCATCTTCTCTTCAGCCTGTCTCTGACCCCAGCTCCTCTTGATTCTGTCTGGAGCCCGCGGCTGGACGCTGGACCTGGTACACTGCCCATGTCAGGGGTTGTTGATGGCTCCCATTCCCAGCTCCCAGATCTGCCGACCATGGTCCAACCCTGTGGGACTGCACCCATCAGCGAGGGCATGGTATGTGCTGGTGTCCCCCTTGCTCCCAGATCCCTCCTCTAACAACTGAGGCCACTATTGGCTGCCCCAAAGGGAAACTGGGCTGTCCAGAGGAACTCAGCCTTAGCGACCACATCACTTGGCACAGGCTGCAGCTGACATGTAGGATAAGGGAGCTGCTAAACAGAGCACCTATATCTTTTGGGGGACGCTGAGATGGGGCAGCACCTGGGCACTGTCCCAGTCTTGGAGGATTCCCCCATTGCTGGAGTCTAGATCCCTGTCAGCCATTTGGTGGTGGCCAAAAGGGAGGCTCAGCTAGAGGCTGCCACGCCTTTTCAGCTGGTTAGAGAGAGCCAACTCTCCTGACCAAAACCTGTCCTCCATTCCAACTCAGCTGCCCTCAACCACCAATGGAGGCCACTGCTATTGCAACACAATAAAGCCCATCTGCACCACGGCCTTCAGAGCAGGGTGAAGTGGCTGAGGGGTTAAATGATTCACTCTATCACATCCCTCCTCAAATTACTGGTACATCATCCTCAGCTCCCTAAGTAAGAGCCAAAGAGAGAACTTGCATGGTTCAGTGACTACAGCTAAGCACCAGCTTGATGGCTGTTGTAGGACCTTGGGATGAGCTACATGTCTCAAAAACAGCCTTTGACAGCTGAGGGGAACAGCTCTTCCTTAGGCTTCATAAGCAGGAACTCCATCAGCCTGTGCCTCTGAAAACAAAGATACACAGTTCTTATCCCCATCATCTCCCGAGACGTGACATGTCTGTATTTCCCTGGTGACTGCTCCCCTTTTTTCAACAGGTCCTGCTACAATGGGTGTCTTGCCCCCCCTCAGTCACTCCGAGGGACTGAAGAGGCCACGACATCCCTCTGCAGTTAATGCTCTGATGGATACTCCCTTGCACCTGATTAGATCAGTAAAGCAGAAACCAGTGCACATTGTTGTTAAACCCTGAGGTACAATAAGCATGTTTTCACAGAAAGAATGCCTCTCCAGGATGTCCACCATCAGGGTGATTCTTTCTCTGACACAGAATTGCTGTCTCATGTTGGCAGAAAAAGCTGCCCGATTCTCAGCACAGGGAATGTTAGCAGTCAAAGAGGATGGTTACTTGTCTCAAACACTGTTAAGGCCACAGAAGAGAGGAATTTGTGACAGGAGGGTGCTAATTCCAGGCCTGGCAAAGGTAAGATCTGGTTAGCACATCCTGGTTAACACATCTGGACAAAATTTGCCCATTGTGACAGACTCTGGAAAAGATCAACTGCTTATACGCATAGCACCAGTCAAAGAAAGATCATCCCAGGCTGTGAGACAGACGGCATCTGAGACCACAAAGAGCAATGGAAGCCCCCTGAATATGGCTCTGTGGATACCCAAAACTTGGACTGTATAAAGGTGGTACTGTTTTCCAGGTGTTAGGAAGATAAATTCCATTATCTCAGACCCAGGGGGGTTAACAAAGCTTGGGGAGAAGGACGTATCGCTATCAGTAGATACAAAGAATACAGCATTTAGGGGCCACAAGGACATCTGGCAGAACTTTCAAGATAAGGAAAAAACTAATAAAACTAACTCAACAACTGTGCTGAAATCAGGTCTGACTGAGTAAAAGATAATTCCGGCAGGGGCAGATGGCAACCACTGACTCATGGCCACTGACTCAAAAGAAGAGAGAGACTGAGCATGCAGACTAATCAGCATCAGAAGCAAGAGAATCGTTTAACCAATAGAAGATAGAATACTAATTAATATGAGAACTATGTAACTTGTAGCCAATAAGCATTAATTCCTTTGTTTGCTAAAATGTATCAACAGTGAAAAGATTTGATAGTTGGCAGTGGGCTTTGTGGACTTGCTACCGAGCACCCTTTTCTGTGCATAATTACAAACAGGGCCCCCCTCCCTACCACTGAGAAGCCTAGGGTGAAGAAGGGCCACTGGGATGCCGCTGGAGCCACGGGTGATGACTATCTCTCTCTCTCTCTCCCCCCGCTTCCATCTGCAATTTTCTACTTATTTCTATCTCCCTACATCACATTTATTGTTAAATAAAATCCGTATTGTTGACTTCGATATATGGTCTCGTGAGCCCCTCGATTCGGGCAGAGCCATCTCTCACTAATAAGATCTTAACAGGGAACAAGCACCAAAAACAATGAAAGCAGTCCAAAATCTAATGAAATGGTCACAACAACTGTAGAATTCATTAGATGGAAGCGATTTTGTAACTTTGATACCCCTCCCCCTCAATCGACTTCCTCTGGCAAGAGCAACTGCCCTGGGAGGCTCCAGCAGGCAGGAAGAATGGGCAGCAGGCCCACAGCAGCAAACTGTTTAATGACTGGGTTGTTGTGCAAGTGACTGTCATCTGTGAGAGGAGGATGTTTTCCAATTTGTCCTTGGCAGCTAAAGCTTTGCTGGAGGATAACCACATTGCAAATATGAGGAATTTCAAGAATTTCTGCTTTTGCTTTTACGCATTTTGAGTAACGGGCGCTCTTGTGAAGATCAGATTTGGATCTGCATTTCCTTGAAGCTCAAGGAGGGCTAAGCATCTCTAATCAGGAAAAGTAATCTCTTTAATTTAAAAATACAGCTGGAGGTTTGTTTACATAGAGTCAAAAATAGAGGTTTCCCAAGCTCTTCAATTTATAGGCAGTGATTATAAATGGTCATTTTTACTGTAATGCAAAGTTTTCCTAGTCTACCTGGTGAAACACAAAATGAAACACAAAATTCAAGAGCTGAAGCTTGGGTCCTTGTGAATGGTCTTAGGTCTCAGCTTTATGCCATTCATGATGAAAACGCAGTTCTCATACTAAGAAGCTTTCAACTAAACCAAGAAGCAGTTTCAGCAGAATGTTAATTATCAACACTAAATATATGAACTAGGAATTAACAGTATTTAACAGCTTGGCCCAGCTACTGAAAGAGATACCTGCACATACCTACATTAAAAAGCTTGTTCTACTACAGCAGAGCTTCCTCTGAAATACAGCACTACCAAAACCAGCATATTCTGTTGAGCAGTGACACTGTTTCATTTGAAACAATCAGAAGACAATAAGTTTGAAACAATCAGAAGACAATGGTTTATCTGCTCCTGTTACTGCTCCAAAGGATTCTAAATAGTGAAATGCCTGAGCCCTTTATTCAGTTTCTTTCTCAGGAAGGAAACAATAGTCCATGTTACAGCACTCCATCACTTGCTGTCACAATGACATGCTGTTGTTGCACACCAGAAATGGCCTGAAAGCATAAAGCAGCACAGAGAACAGTTTTTCACCAGCTAAGCATTCTCACCCAAACTTCTAAAAATTTGCAATAACTGATGTATAACTAACTAATGAATAAATTCCTCTGTTATTTAGTATGTTCATGGTTGTTCAATGACTGCTAGGTGGCAAAGCAAACATTAATTTTTTTTCTCTTGTTCTTGTCTTCTGACACTCTTGAAGTCCCACAGGAGAAGAGAATATATTATTGATGGCATCATGGAAATGCAATGAATCTTCATGTTTATCTGTTCTTCTGCTGAGGAGACATCAGAGGTTAAGCACAGCTCTTAGCAGGGAAAGAAAAGCAGCATGAAAATTATGGTGCTAAGAACTAAATGGAATTGCCACCTATGAGTTCAGGTGACCCGCTGAATTAAGGCATTTCATGCAGCTCAACCTACAGCTGGTCTGTAGCTTCACTGTGTGCAATCTTACATTGTAATACAATCTTGTTTCCTAAACCCAGGAAATTCCACTCCCCTCCATGTCTGGGAGAATGCTTATTTTGGAGCCCACACAGCGAACATTCACATAGTCTCCTGAAGTACTGAAAGGAGTCAATACAAATGCTACAAACTCAAGACCTTTCTATTGCTTTTATTCTGATTATTTCCCTAGTATTTTGACAGTGAGGGTAAGATGAAAATTATAGATAATATTTTGGACCTAATAATGCCCTGTGTAGATTATAGACAAATATCTAATTTACTGCTTAGTTAGTCCTATCAGATACCTGTGTAATATGTGTGTTGTTTACAACCGCATGCGTTTCCATACTTTAGGAGCTTCAAGAATGAGATCTCCTTCCTTTTTTGCACATAGAAGGCATGAGAGGCATTGAAAGTAGTGCATACACACAAATTGTAGTCTTCTGAACAGCACATGGCAGGCTAGTAATGTCACAATGGCAGGGACATCATTGATACATTGACTCCAGCTGTGGAAGCTGGAAATGTTTAGGGATATCACCACATATGACTCTTGCTATTCAGACTTTCAGCATTAAGCTTACCCTGCATTGGTTTAAGGGCATGAGCACCAAGTTTGTTCCTTGTCCCTGCTACTCTTGCTAGAAAGCCAGAGGGATGTCTACAGAACAGAGATTCTCACTGACATGTTACTGCTTAGCTTTGGTTTTAAATGTTGAATTTTCAGTTGCTGTTACAGAAAATTAGGAGAAACAGCCAAATTACAGTCCTCCTAGTACAGAATTTCAGTTCATTTCTGTGGATGACAGTAGCTAGTCTAGCTTCCACTAAGGGACCCCACCACAAGGATTTCTCTGCCATGAATAAACTGAATACACAAGCTGATTCAGAAATGCCTAGTCAGAAATGTTATCTTGAGGACACACTGTAGTTATCTTCAGGGACATGAGAACTGGAAGGCTACCTCACCTCCCCCTCCTGCCAGGGCAAGGCCAAAAAAACGCCCGAGGAATGCTTTTTCTTTTCCTGGCATGCAGTATAGAAAGGTAGAAGTAATTAAAAGAACATATGGAGAAATGTACAAAGTTGCCAAACCTGGCTGTTTAAACAGCATGGCCTATCCAAATCCTGAAAGGTCTGCACAGGGAGACAATTGCACAAAAGCTGTCTACTGAAGATTTTCAAAATAGAAGAGCTTGGCAGAAATTGGGTGCTTGCTATTAGCTTGACTTCCAAGTCCCTCCCTTGGCCCTTCCCCCTAAATCCTACTCAGCTTGGAAAACCCCTTTCACGGGAGAGGCTGTCAGGAAGAGTCTATAAGCAGACCTTTAGGCAATCCTGAGGGGCAACCTCAGGCTAAAAATAAATAAATGACCTGACAACACAGATGTCTGAAAGCTGCTGCTTGCCATAGCAAATCCAAAACTACTGCTGCTCATGTTACTGCCTTCCTACAAACAGATGGTAAAGTAGAGCCAAGTCAAGAAAATCCTGGTGAAAGAGGAGAAACCCTAGGTGTCAGGAACAGGTGCCTCCAAACTCTGTCTTGAGCGTCCTTTATACTTACATACCCACAGATCAGCTGCCCTTCTTCCACCGCTAGACAAAAAACGCAGCACCCAGCTGAAGTCTGTATATATATTTTTTTTTGCAGCTACCAAAATGTAAATTAACTCTGTTGCAAAGGAATTCAAATATCTCTCTCCGTGAAGAAGACTCAGGTTTTAAAAATACTTCTGACCTTTTTCACATAAATCAACTCAGATGCAAATATATACTCACGGGAGCAAAGACAACTAAGATATCTTTACATCAGTTCTGAAGAGTATCAGAAGGAGCAATATGTAAAAAGTTCATTTATTTCCACTTAAAAACAGACTTTACTTCATGTAGCATGAGCCTCTTACAGGATTTTTTTCTTGATCTTGGTGCAAAACATTAGTATCTATTTTCTAAGAAACATGATTTTGAAAAAGCAGATGTAAGGAGGTTACTTTGCCCAGCTAGTGAATTTTGCTTCAGGTACTGGAAATAAAAGCCACAAAATACAGAGCATCTTCATAAGATAGCATTTCCACTACAGAGAAAAGAACTTAACCTTGAAACTAGACTAACAGAAATTTCATTAAGTTTTATACAGCAGGAACAGTTTGGCTCCAGGTCTATTTAATCCAAGCCCTGAAGGTTTAAATCCCACTATATTACAAGAGCATTACTAGCTCAGACTTAATTACAGATTC